CAATAACATTCAAATAAACTGAAAAACTCCAAAGTACAAGAGTTCGAGCAATCAACGGACGACATAGGCCTTAATAGCCTCCCAGCCACTAAAAACCCTACGAGGGACATCGGTTGAACAAATATCAACACAAACAGCTTAACAGAAATAATAAGAGGAAAACAAGGAACATAATTGTACAATGTCTTCAACAACAACAGTAAGATTACAAGGAAAACCAGCAGGAGTTTGTAACCTTGTACACATGCTTTTTATCTTTTAACACTAGCACCACCTTGTCCCAACCTATAGCAGCACCTTGCCCAAGCCATGTTCTTACCTTGTCCCATTCTGATTTGTTTTGCATATTTACTATTATGAAATAAATTCCGATCATTGAAACTTTACAGCATGTTTGTTTATTGAAACTGATATATAATAAATCACACCCGAAGTGAACATGCTTTCGAATGCGTAAAATATGTAATGTTGTTGATTTCATATTAAAAAAAAAGTGCTAAAGTGAACACCGAACATATTTTTAGATTTTTGAACTGATTTTTCATAAGTGGTAAGTCAAAGTGTTTGACTCATTTTTTTAAATTTTCCACAAATGATTTTTCCATCAGTCTCTTTCAATATACTAGTGTGTAACTCGTGCGATGCATTGGACAATAATTGTAAATTGCATGTATAAATGTAATGAGGGAATATTGATTATAATAAAAATAGTATTGAATATTAATATTATTATTTTATTTTATTTTATGATATATAATAATATAATATAGAATTTATATGTTTATTTCACTTCTTATAAAATAATTGTCATTTTAGAGTTCCTGTTTACAGTTTTTTTCAATTGGGACCGGCCTGACGGGTCGACCCGGAGCCGAAACCGGTCCGAGTGGACTATTCGGACCAGGCAACAAAGGACCCGGTCAAAACCCGGCATTGACCCGGCTGGGTCAACCCGGTTTACCCGACCTCTATATTTTTTTTAATTATTTTTTTATTTTTTAAAATATTTTTAGTTTTTAAAAAAATAAAACTATGTATATATATTTACTAGTACAATACCCGTGTACTATATGAGTATTTGTTAAGAAAATTATTTTTAAAATTAAATAATAATAATAATAATAATTGTTTAAAATCAAATATATATATTTATTAGTCTAAAAGTTAAATATATGTATTTATTAGGCTAATTTTTTAGGCCAATTACCTCGAAACGATTAACCCCAACAACACCATGAAGGCTACCGATCAGGTACTTCCTTGGTTAATTTCATAATTTAATTGCTCAAATTTCGACTCGAATGAATTTTCTTGTTTCGTTTACAGCAAATTTGAATTTTTCTTTTTTCTAATTTTTTTCCGAATTTTATCTCGATCAGGAAGTGAAATCTGGTTCGACTTCTGATTGTGGATCATTAAATAGAAAAACCGGGCCCGATGACGACGCATTAGCTGCTTCTTTTGAGAACCAAGAAGTTTCTGGTACTGACATGTTAGAGGAGGTATGTAGAGTTCTTCTCCTCGACTGCCGGGCTTTAGATATTTTTCTATGATGTCGAGGATTCTCCTTTCTAAGGATCAATTGCTTAATTATGACTGTGTGTTGATTTTTATCATTTGATTTGGGGAAGCATGGCTCGAATGCTCGATTGGATTCGTATTTGAGTTCGACGACATGTTCTGATATGATATAAGTATAAGCGAACTATACGTGTATTAGTTAGTAATGTATTTGTTGTTGGTTTCAATTTGGGGAATCATGGCTCGATTATATGAACTCACACAACATGTGCCGTTGTTATGATACAGAACGAACTATCGTTAGTAATATGTTTGTTGTTGGTTTGCTTTTCCATTGAATGAAATTCAATTGAAAATATTTGTGTGAATGAAAGAATAATGTTCTGTAATGGAATTATTTGAGTGTTTAATGAATGATCTTTCCATTAGGAACTCAAATCTGGTTCAACATCTAAGAGAAAGGTAGAGCTTGATGATGCATCTTTTCCAACTTCTGTTGCTAAGAAACCAGCAACCTCTGATGCCGGCACCTCTGATGACGGAATGACTTTTTTTTATGTATGTAGAGTTCTTCTTCTTGACTGGTCGTAGTTGTTTTTATGACATGGAAGATAGTTGATTTCTGTTTGGTGGATTGGTTGTATTCCTTTTAATTTGTCCTTAGGATGAGGATGAGGAGGAGGAGGATGTTGATATGGTTACTGACTTTGGTGCGCTTGACAATGACCCACCCTTGTTTGAGATAGCGTATTGGACTACCCTTGATACGAAGGTAAGTCTATTTTATTTTAACATAAAAAAACTATGCTCGATGTTGATTTTTTTACCTTCTCTTTTGTGTTGGTTGGGGAAATTTACTCTTGAAATTAAGTGTTCGAAAGCATTTATTTAGTTTCATGACTGTTATGAATGATACAGGATGAGGATTTGAAAGATGAGCTTGCTAAACATTTTGATCGTGGATCAGACCAATTCAAGACAGCACTTAAAAGTGTAAGTGATACACTTGATGTTGTATTAAGCTACGGGATTTTTTATTACATACCTGTCACAATACTATTAGGCTATGTTTGTTACGAGGGATTTGAAATCCCTTGATTTCAAAATTTTTGAAATATAAGGAGGTGATTGGATATGAATTCAACTAGTAAAAAACTAGTTTTTTTTTTTTTTTTAACTATAGTTAAGTTTGAAATAAAGTAGTATGGTTAGTTGTTAGTGGATATATTAAAATAATATTTAAATTAAAATAATTAAAGTTGATTTGATGTAAAAGTAGGAGAAAATGATTGAAAGTGATGATTAGTTAAAATTATGTGAGTGGGTGAATAGTGAATTAAAGTTGATGTGATGTGTAATAATGATTGATTGGTATTATTTAATTATATTGATAATATTGGAGATAGTGGAGTCGAGTTGAATTTGAGTTTTGAGTGGGATATTTACTGTACAAATTATATACAATCACGCCCTAAGTTTTTATTTGCAGACTCTTTGAATGGATTTGTTGAAATGATTATGAATCCATTGTCTAGCTCGCACTGATGGTGTTCACTCGTGGTGATGAACCTAAATGATGGCATACGGTGTGATCGTCAACGGTAATAAACAATTGATTTCAAATGACTAGGTTTGATGAGTCATTTAAAATCCTTCAAAATAATGACTAAAAATTATCTAGCATGTATTTGAAATCCCTCAACTTCTATTACTATATGAGGATTTGAACTTAGTAAATCCTTTAATCCAAATGTACCCTTAAACTTTTCAAGTTGTTGTGCTCGTGTCTTTTGTGTCTTCTACTTTTGTGGCGTGTTAAGTTCCCTTCACGAAGCTTTTCCATTTGAATGGTTATGCGCTGCGTAATGATATTCCTGATGGCTGGCTTTTACTTTTGCTGATAAATTTATTGTCAGCTCTAATTTATTGTGATTATTCAATTTCAGATCGGTGATGATCTGTATGGTTATAAGGCTCAATTTAATGGGGATTCTGATCATCGTAATGGCGGGAAGGTGTTCGTGAAAGCTACACTTCGCCACGATGGTAGTGTTTTGCTTTCAATCTTTAGCTGAAAAACTGTCCACTTCCAGACGGGCATATGCAATCAAACCTGGTTTTGTGTAGTTATAGCATGTGAATAACCTAGGAACACTTGTGCTCGACTCAAGCTGGAATATATGGTTTTAATGAATCAGAAATGGATGTTGCCTGATTGAATCAACATGCATTGTTGAAATTATTTTTCCATTTGGTGATGAAAATGAGTGATTGAGCTTTTGATGAAACGCAGATAAAATGGGCCTGGCCTTAACAATACATTTTGCACGCGTGGATTTCATAATATATCCATATATCAGTAACTTGTAATTTCAAGAGCCTACCTAATTGTCATTTTGGTGTTTGAATATGTAAAAAATTTATGTTTTGTATTTGGTTATAATATCTACTAGTACGACACCCGTGTATTACACGGGTGCTTGTTAAAAAATTATTCTTGAATTATAAAATTAATGAGAAAATTATTTTAAAATTATTTATTTTTTACAAATAATATATATTATTATATATTTTAGAATGACAGTTGTTACTTGTGACTTATATGTGCTATATTATAGTAATTTTATAACTTATATCATATAACTACTTCAAATATAAATATATTAATTGATAAATAATTTTATTCTTCTAATTAATATAAAAAAATAATTTTATTATTGTTATAAAGATAAATATAATTTAAAATATATTATTGCGTACAATATATAATTTATAAAGATAAATTATAATTTAAAATATATAATTTTATTATTGTCAAGAACGAAATCAAAATATAGGCCAAACCGTGTTTGTTTTGTAGTGCCACAATCTCCAAAACTCGAATCCAAGCAAAAATCCAATGAATCCCAAGTGAAAATTGAAAAGAAAATGTTTCTAAGGTCCAAAAGTCCGAAAAGAACTAGTCTCAGAATGATAATATTCCTTAAGGCTCGATCCCTCAAACCCTTGTATTCGAAATTCCATAAAAAACGCATCTGCTGAAAACAGACCTTAGCGGCGCTAACCCCATTTTTGTTAAAAGAAAGCCTCTGACGTCGCTACCTCCTCGCTAAGGCCAAACCGCCGCTAGTTTTCACACCCTTAGCGGCGCTAACCCCTTAGCGGCGCTAGGGTCAGGGCAGCTTCTGATTTTTAGTTTTTCGGGCTCGTGGACTCTCGGGTAACATCTCTCGGGTCTTTCCTGAGCTAGAAAGTCAATCTTTTGTTGTTTGGTGGCACGAACTGGGACGAAACACTTGGGAACTGGAACGACCTGAAACACCAAAATCGGAAGACAACACGAAAAGCAAGGAAAATAGAGATAAAAGCAAAGAAAATACTAAAAACATCAAAATAAAGGTAAAACACGAGAAACGACTAAACGGACCGGTAACACCTAAGAAACGACCAAAAAGGGGAGAAAATACACGCAAAACATAAACAAAAATAGCAAAGAAAATGGGACAAACAACTCCCCCACACTAAGACTTTTGTTCGTCCCGAACAAAAGAAAGGAAAAGAAAAGAAAAGGAAAATAAACAATTGAGCAAGGACAACGGTTCTAGCAAGACTAATCTCAAACCAATCAATCAAGTCAAGAAGAATTCAAATGATCACAAGAGCACACCTCAACTATTAACTTGACCGTTTTGAATGACATAAGCTCTCGAGTGCAGAAGTGTCATATATGCCTCACTTAATTTCTTTCTTAAATATCAACTGGGTACACTCAAATTGGTCATCAGTCGAATCAATCATAAATTTGACTATCGTCTAACTCCTACTCTAAAACAATCAAATTCATGAAACAGTGAATCAAGAGGACTTTAAGGGATATAACGTAGGCTCTTTGGATCGGGTAGGGTAAATATAGGCTAACTGACTAAATAAAAATCAACTCACTCAATCAGATAACCGTAATCATGAACTCTTTCGGTTGCTGACACCAACAGATTCCTCTCACTACTCCGAAATCAGCCTACGTCCCAACTTATTCACCATTTTTTTTTTTGTGAGAACCTTTGGACATTTTATGAAATCCATTCGGTTTCTCTTTTTTTTTTTTTTTTTTTTTTAGAACCTTTGGACATTTTAGTAATCCATTTGGTTTCTCTCTTTTATATACCAAAGGTTTAGAAGACCTCTGTCCTATCCATTAGACAATGGACGCGGTTCATTCCGATTTTTATCGTATTTTGATTTTTCTACTTCTTTTTTTTGAATTGAAAATTAAAAAATAAGAATGCGGATTTTTTAATTGTATATTCAATGATTGATTAATTGGAATAATACTATCTATATTCTAGAATAGAATTCTAATATTCTATTAGAATCTAATATCTTAGTTAGAAGATAGGAATATATATATATATACAAACACGAATCACCTCCAATTCTACACCCGCAACTCCACAATATCATCGTTACGAGGTTATAAAAGAAAGAAAATCAATAGGCTCAAAGAGGGTGACTAGCGAAATTATTTTCAGAAAAGAAAAGGGAAAGGAAATACAAAAAGAAATGCCTCAAATCATATTCACGTTCATAAATCCAATTATTTCATTTCTAAGTAGACTCAAGACAAATTCTAATTGATAACGATTCTGACCAATATCTCACGAGAAAATAAATGAACGTGGCTCAAACCTCACAAGTGGTAAAATAACTATCAACAGAACAACCAAGCCAATTCATCACTCATACTCATCATCACAATTATGATACACCAAAGTCCAAACTCAGAAAAACACAAACAAATAATCCTACCAAGTATACCGATCCACAAAAACAAGAGAAAAACAAAAACAATCCTAGAAATAAAAACTTAGACTTGGTCAACCACATAGCCACGTAAAACTCCCCCACACTTAAAATTAGACAATGTCCCCATTGTCAATCCTAAGTGCAAGAGAGACAGACCATACAATTAACCGACTGGAAAATAAAACAAGTTATACAAAAATAAAAGAAAAATATGATTATAGAGTTCAAGTTTTTTTCTAAAAGGAGGATGATAAGGTTATACGTCCGAGGGACAACCTCTATCTTGTATCCTTCCATAATGGGACGCAGATAATTAGATTCAGTAATGAAGGAGAGCTATTCTCATTGCATTTCCCCTCTTTTACACAGGACAATACCCTAGCCTCGATGGACGCGGATTACGCAAAATCATGACACTTGGGAATGAGGGTATTCATTATGCTGTTAGACTGTTGACAATTTCCACTGATTATGATGGAAACGATTACAGAAGAAGTCTCTTGTCCATAATTTATCATTTATTAGAGGCTGCTCGCTTCAAAGTTATTGAGAGATTTATATGCCAGCACTTTGCCTTGGGGAGGATACCCATGGAAAGTCACTTGAAGCTGCTAAACTTTTGGGGGAAGGCGAGCAAAGCAATCATATTGAATAATAGAAATGTAAAGTTCAGTACTGAAGATGGTGAGGCTGAAGTTGGTCAGGAGTCTCCCATAAAAAATTTTGACGACGCCAAGTTAAAACTAGACTTATTGTTAAACTACTCGAAGAATGACCCCGCATTGCCGAGCATAGAAGGAGTGACTAGGAGAATCTTCCTCCTTTTGGAAGTGACTCTGCTCACCCGAAAGAGAAAGGAGAAAGCTCGAGGGAAAGAGGTAGGAAGGGGGCGAGCTCTAGCCGGGAGACCCGTGACAGTGTTGGTGAAGGAAGGGGTGGAGGTGTGATGCCACAGGTACGAACATCCTCGACTTTTTCACAACACTATAGTAACTTCCTTCAGAACAGGCTAGCATTCCTATAAATGATAGTTGCATAAACCTCCCCTTAGATATAACAATTAAAAAGTTCACTTATCTTTGAAAATATGAATATAACCTTAAATTATAATTTACAAATCCTTGGGTTTGGGTATATCGATTATCGAAGCAATTTGTAAAAGGAAACAACCCCATTTTATTTTTGGGTGCTACTTGTTCGTTAATGCAGTTTCAGAGGATATACCCAATTTGTAAAAGGAAACAACCTCAATTTGTAAAATGGGGTTGTTTCCTTTTACAAATTGCTTCGATAATCGATGTACCCAAACCTCAAGGATTTGTAAATTACAATTTAAGGTTATATTCATATTTTCAAAGATAAGTGAAGTTTTGAATTGTTATATCTAAAGGGAGGTTTATGCAGCTATCGTTTATAGGAATGCTAGCTTGTTCTGAAGGAAGTTACTATAGTGTTATGAAAAAATCGAAGATGTTCGTATCTGTGGCATCACACCTCCACCTCTTCTTTCACCATTACTGTCACGGGTCTCCCGGCTAGAGCTCGCCCCCTTCCTACCTCCTTCCCTCGAGCTTTCTCCCTTCTGTTTCGGGTGAGCAGAGTCACTTCCAAAAGGAGGAAGATTCTCCCAGTCACTCCTCCTATGCTCGGCAATGCGGGGTCACTCTTCGAGTAGTTTAACAATAAGCCTAGTTTTAACTTGACGTCGTCAAAATTTTTTATGGGAGGCTCCTGACCAACTTCAGCCTGACCATCTTCAGTACTGAACTTTACATTTCAATTATTCAATATGATTGCTTTGCTCGCCTTCTGGGAAACAGCTTCAGGTGACTTTCCATGGGTATCCTCCCCAAGGCAAAGTGCTGGCATATAAATCTCCCAATAACTTTAAGCGAGCGACCTTCAATAAATGATAAATTATGGACAAGAGACTTCTTCTGTAATCGTTTCCATCAGTGGAAATTGTCAACAGTCTAACAGCATAATGAATACCCTCTTTCCTAAGTGTCATGATTTTGCGTAATCCGCGTCCATGGAGGCTAGGGTATTGTCCTGAGGGGAAATGCCATGAGAAATAGCTCTCCTTCATCGCTAAATCTAATTATCTGCATCCCATTATGGAAGGATACAAGATAGGGGTTGTCCCCTCGGACGTATAACCTTATCATCCTCCTTTTAGAAAAAAACTTGAACTCTATAATCATATTTTTCTTCTGCGCAAGATTCGTCGCCTGAGGGCGGAGCAGTGGAATGCCCTGAATCATCACACAACCGTCTGATCTATCTTTATAGAGACATAATCTCGAATGAACGCTATTCTGTTGAGATACTCCGATGCAGAGTTTGGTGCATATAGCAAGAATGATGATTTGGGTTCGACATTGGTTGGCGTACGCGTATCACCCATCTCCAGTATAGGTTTGTGTGGACAACGAATGTATGCAAATAGCAAAGAAGAAGCTGAAGCTCAAAAGAACCTCACACACTGCAGCAAGTACTTGGGTCGAAGCCAGGAGGCAAATTTCCACTTAAGATAGGTTGTATCTGCAAATTTAATGACAACTTAGTAAGCATTGATGTTTGGAAACAATATACAGAACTACTAGAAGTGTTATAAATTACATACGAAGCAATAAAGTAGTCTTATTTGGTTTTTACTGCAGCCTGTAAACTTAGAATACAAACATAGTTGATACTTGATAGGATCATAGCTGGTACATATAAAGTTGGCATAACTCTCTTGCCAAGTGACATAGATTTTGAGTTCTTATTTAATCATTTTAATTCATTTAGAGACAAACTTCATCAACAAACAACTCAAACAATGAAAGGGCATATGGTATCTGAAATTCAAAAAGTATAAAGTGCAAGGATGAAAGACACCAAGACACAAAAACAACCATAGGGAGATGCTATTTGAAACACAGACAAGTACTCTCTCCAAGGCAATGCAGTAAACCAGTCAAGATAATTGCGTGTGACATTAAACTCACTCGAACTTGCTTCCAATAATTGTAATTTTGTCAGTTCTTCTTCTATGACTTGCAAAACATGAGCTGGAATTTTATCCTTTCTCTCTAAACTTTGCTGTAGTAAATGAAGAAGAATATCTACACATATTATTATCTGAAAAAATTGCTTTACATTAAATGCATGCATTACTTAAGCTTAATTTGAAGGAGCGCCATATAAATGCAAGAAATTCAATCTCGTATAAATCACAAATTTGCTCGTCTGCAATTGATGCCCATTGGAGGCAGTATATCAAAAGGCATATGTACAAGACATATTTACCTCAGCACAAAAATATATTTGAAAACAACGATGGACAATGAATTTATGCAAATAGCAAAAAAGAAGCTGAAGCTCAAAAGCAACTCACACACTACGGCAAGTACTTCTCGAAGACAGGAGGCAAATTTCAACTTAAGATAGGCTCTATCTGCAAATTTAATGATAACTTAGTAAGCGTTGTTGTTTGAAGATAACATACACCACTACTGGAGAATCTCATAAAATCAATTGAGTCTTGAACTGTCCCACACAAACAACAGCCACCTAATCGATTCAAGGAAATTGCTTAACATGTCATCCATTGAGATAATTTAGCGTTTAAAATACAGTAAGTGGGACCATAGAATTCAGATTGTGAGTAATTAATATGAGTCTCGACAAAATGTTTCTAACTTGGATCTTAAATTTCTCCCCCAAGTCATTACTACATGCTATTCGGCAGAGAAAACATCAGGCCCGATGTTCAACTAACAATAAAGCATAAACCATAATTAAGGCATCTGAACGCTCCATCAAATTATGAAACATTATATCATGATATCATCTAATATTATTATTTTGAAGGTTGGTGAAGGAGGTCAAAACTTAGTCGTCTATATCAATAATGTCATCTTGAAGCATCTCACCTGAATAATAGTGAATAAAAATACCAATAAAGCCACCACTAACGGCAAAAGTAACATAGCCAAACAATCTTCCCTATTTCAAATAAAAATATATGCATACGTAAAAAATTATGACGTAAATGACAACAGAAAAATTATGATGAAGAAAACGAATATTGATAGGTTGGACTCTTGTCAGAAACAGAGGTTGGCAAAAATTACTGAAGCACACAACTCACAACTGATCAAAGCCAACCCAAAACAAATTAATGCACCAGCACAAGGAAAAGAAGATTCCAGTATGGCTCACTTTTATTGTTGCTTTGTAATTTAGAAAACAACAAATAAAGCATTTTAACAAAGAAAATGAATTCATTCAATTTGTGTTTTCTACGAGATACCAACCAATGCACACTTCTCAGGGGCTTATTTTCATTGCCTGTGCCAGAGTTGGCAATCAATTAAACTGCATTCGATTTGTCAACAAATGTCCATCAAACTTACCAGTAATTTAGTTGACAACATGTTCACAACTTACACGATTTTTTTTTTTATATATTTTCAACGGAAAACAAAATGGAAGAGAACTTTCAAATAGAACCACAAAACAGATAAGGCAATAAAAAAGTGGTGAAGTAAATTTAAAGCTAATTGGGAAAACGCAGAGTAGGAGAAAGTTGTGTACTCACCGCAAACCCTAGGTCGATGTCCTGAGCTCTCGGGTTTTCTCGATGACGATGGCTGGAGTGGAGAGGTCGCGCAGCGAACAACGAGGGTCAGGTCGAGCGCCGGATGGCCGAGGTCGAGCGGCGGTGGGCGGAGGTCGAGCGATTGCGGCGGAGGTGTAGAGAGGGGATGTGTGTTTTTTTGGTTAACCTAATTGTTTTACAAATTCCTTTTTCATTAGTTTCAATTTATTTGGCCACTGAGTTTTTGAAATCTTTTGCAAGTTATTTCATCAAATGAAAAATACCAAATATTAATAAATGTAAATAAAAAAAAAATAAACGAACAGTGTTTGCGCTGCTTTTTCTTAAATACTTAGACTATAAGATATATACATATGAGATAACTTGGATGTCTATTCACAGAAGCCAAGTTGTACCTTTACAACTGATAGGTAGCCCCAAGCTCTTGCATGTAAAATTAGTTGGTAAAAGAATGAACAAATTCTTGAACACTTGAATAACACAATCGAAATATTCTCATTTTCATATTCAGAACGCCAGCCCGAGTCTCAACAAGTCTTTTCGAAACATGTAGCCATAGAAGAAAACCAATCAATATCAAATTTTCAAATGAAAAGTTAGCGCGTAAACGTCCATAAACTCACAGCATTGAAATCAGAGGTTCACTTCATGTTTCCATTGTCCGATACAGAGGCCCTTGGAGGTGAACCCTCTTTCGACACTTCCCGGACAGGCTACATACACAACTTTCAACTTGCATTCATCGACTTGGTTTCCAGACTCTTTGTTGAACTAAATTAACAACAAAGAAAGAAGCAGACTTATTCTTTACTAAACCCGAAAACTCCAAATCTAAACTACACAAGATTGGTATACCAACAATTTAATTAAGCTACTTAACAAAGGAGTTAATTTATTTATCTAACAGGAAAATGGAAGAAAGAGTGATACTGGGATGTGGAGGAATTTGAGGGCTGAAACGGCGTCATCTATGACAGCCTTGCGATGGCACATTATGGCAATGGAGGCTCCATGCTTTCCAATCTGAGCTAAAATCTCAAAGCCGATGTTGGATCTATCCCCAAATAATATAAAGTCAGAGAATACCCAAACTCATAAAAAAAAAAAGAAAAGAAAAGAAAAATTGCCAATTCATTGTGTGATAAGAGAGCAAGCAATTAAAAAGTACAAAGAGCCAACCATCAGTAAAAAGAAGAATAGAAATTCAGGGTAAAGCAACAGCTGCTTGTTCTCCCGAGCGAGGAAATGAAGGCACTCACCTTTCTCTGTGACATAGTCTTTTAGGAGGGAGTTTTCTTCACAGGCGATGCCTGCAGCAGCATTGGTGGCGTTGACCGCCCGCTTGAGGATGTCTCACAGCTTTTACGTTTTTTGAGGGACTCGGCTAGCT